AACATTAAAAATTACATGCATAAATAAAACGAACAAAAGCAGAGAACAGCAGTCTGGACTTCACGAAAACAGATAAGTTCACTGGCCAAGTCACTCCGAACATTTTCAAATCGTTCTGTAAGCATAATCTAGGGCCATCAAATATAGGGCATGAGAAAATCAAATGTTCCACATCCTGAGGAACTCTTTTTGAACATTCACATAAATTGTTTGATCGTAGATTAAAAGAAACAGACAACTTGCAAATTTACCGTGACCAGATAAAAACTGAGACACTTTAAAATTTAACGAGAGAAAAGACTCGGAATTCAGTCTATGGTAAATAGAAGGAAGGAACTTTTTGATGACTTCAGCATTACAAGATGAAATGTATTCGTCATTCCACATAGCTAAAAGCTTTTTATAATGAAAGGACTTTCAATAACTCTTTGGAATGCTAATGTTGATATCAATGGGTAAATTTAAGGCATCTTTAGCTAAGAAATCAGCTCTTTCATTTCCGTAGAAACCATGATGAGCACGCACATAAGCAAAGCAGATATCAATACCTCTAATTCTAAGTGAACTAACAGTTACTAGGGTTTCGATAACTAATTTATCGCAGCTGGTAATACTGTTCAAAAGTTGAAGAGAAGAAAGAGAATCAGAACAAATAAGGTACTTTGAGGATGTTGTCCCATGATCCTGGATCCATTTGACGGCAAGATAAATGCACAGAAGTTCTGATTGAAAAACTGTACATTCATTCCGTATACGGTGTCTAAGAAAACTAATCTCGGAATGGCCTTGAAAAGAACAAATGCAAGGCCAACCTTGTTGTTCATATTTACAGATTCCGTATATCTGTAAAGAAAACCATATGAAAACTTATTTCAGCAGTCTCTTTATAATCGCAGAAATTTATGGGTTCTAAAGAAGCGGGATGAGGAAGATCAGTGAAGGGGACAATTCCATTAATACAGTCTTCCGAACCATGAGTTGCCAATGACTCACAAATATTATTCTTATATGCAATTTCAAAATCAATAGGCGGAACTCCTGCAAGAAAAAAAGTAGCCTCATAGCTTAAGGTTCTATAACCACTAATAATACGAAGAAGAATTCTCCATTGAATCTTTCTTAAATTTCTTTTGTTAACCTTCTTGGCAAGAACATGTCCCCAAGCACCACAGCCGTACGAAATGAAAGGTTTAATACACTGCTTATACATGAGTTTCTTAACATCGTAGCTTACTCCAAAAGTATTTTTGGCAATTCGGTTAAAGCCATTAATAATTTTTTTCACATTTAGCAGAAAGGAATTCAATGTGCTTTTTCCATGTTAATTTTTGGTCAAGAATGACACCAAGATATTTAACATTTTCTACAAATTCCAACGGAGAATTATCGAGCATCAAAGAAGCAATATTTTGTTCATCAAACGTACTGGGAACAAGCATAGCTTTACTTTTTGAAGGATTGAAAGTGAGTTTATGAGAAATCGCCCAACTGGAGACAAAATCTAGAACTTCTTGTGCTCTCAAAAGAATGTTATTCAAAATCCTTCCTTGGAAAATTAATAGTAAGTCGTCTGCAAACGCAATTTTTAAACAACCGTCGAGATGACTTAAAAGATCATTTATGATTATGTTCCAAAGAGTAGGTCCGGATACAGAGCCTTGAGGACAGCCTTTTTCTAGAGAATAAACCTTTAGCTTCGTTCCCAAGCTGAAGCTCAGCAGTCCTCTCGTTCAAGAAGCTTTTAAGAAGGTTATAGATATTATGTGGTATATACCAGCATCTTTTAAAATTTTTAAGATAGATGGCCACCAAGCATTATAAAAAGCTCCTTTGAAATCCAGGAAAATAAGAAGTGTAGTATACTTCATTTTCTTTGCACACTGCAAGATATTATAAAGGCGAATAATGGCGTCTTCAGCGGACTTCCGAGGAGTAAATCCGAACTGAGAATCATAATAAAAGCATTTTTGTCTCAAATACCAATTTATTCTGTTAATGAAGAGAGTTTCAAGACATTTTCCCAAAGTAGGCAAAAGACTAATGCCTCTAATATTATCAAGATAAGGGGTTCTTGTATCTAAAGTTTTAGGAATCAAAACAACCCGAGCTGTCTTCCATTGTGCTGGAAAAACTGCTAATTGTAAACAAAGGTTGAAAAGTCTGTGTAGAAATGTGCTATCCACCGCATGAAAGTGCTGTACAATTTCATTAGAAAGAGAGTCAAGCCCAGTGATTTGTTCTTCTTGAGATTTTAATAACAACACTGTTAACTTCTGAAGTAGAAAACGGACAGTCCATAAAAGAAATATAAGGTCCATCAGACTCAGTGCGCATAGTTCTATGAGAATTTCTATCATCACGCGCATTATCTCTTGGGAAATTCTTTGTCATTATAGCAACAATTGTATCACTCAAACTCGAAGTAACACTGCCATCCGAGAGTTTAATTTCCGAAATCTCAATCCTTTTCGCAAAATTGGTCTTAACCCCTTACTTATATATAGATTTCCAGACATTGTGAACAGTAATAGTTGAGAGAAAATTTCTCCACGACTCAAGCTTAGCATTAGCTAATTTAGCCTTGTACTTATGCCGCAATTGGAAATATTTAATTTTATAAATATTTTTAAGAGGACAGTTTCTTTCTCTCTGGAATCTACACCTAGCAGCATTTACATGCTTTCTATAACAATCAATTTCCTTAGACCACCAAGGGACCCCATTCTTCTTACTTTTCTTCATCGGAATTGAAAGTAAAGCACAATTAAAAACAACGGCAGAAAGTCTGTTTACAACATTTTCTAATGCAATACAATCAGAGCAACTGTTAAGAAGGATATTCAAGTTACACAATTCTCTCTTACACAGTAAATAAAAACCAGTTCGATCATTTTAAATTAAAAGTACACAAATTAGAAGATATAATCGGACGGCATAAAACAAGTTCAAAGATAATCATTTTATGGTCAGAAAGAGAATATTCCTCAGAGATATCCCAACCTTGAACGTATGGCAGTCCTAAGCAGTCCTAAGCTACAAAGCGTAAGGTCAATATAACTCGAGCCTTACGTGGAACAGAAAGTAGGTCCGCGATTTTCATTAAGTAGAAACAAATGATTCACACTAATAAAATCACTAAGTTTCGTTCCTCTAGCATCAGTAATAGGACTATGCCAAATCGCTGATTTGCTATTCGAATCCATACCACGTAAATAATTGCATGGTTTCTTCATCGTTAAAATTTGTGAAATTTTTAATAGTTCTATGTCAATATTAGTTTGGGGCTCGAAATAAGCGGAACAAATAGTCAAGTCAGATCCATTGATTTTTATATCTAAAACAACAGTATTATAAACTGTATGATTTAAGTTCAAAAAAGGAGAAAGATTCTGGTTGCAAACAATAACAGCCGACTTGACAACTTCTGCTTCGGAATCATAGTAAACTTTATATTTTATTGGAAAGCCAGGAAGAACACCTTTATAAAAGTGCGGCTCCTGAATCAGTGCGACATCAGTGTCATTTGCCTCCATATATAAAATAAGTTGCTGAGTAGCAAGTTTTGATTTGTGCAAATTTATTTGTACAAAAGAAACAGACAAATTGTCGGACTTACCCATAATAAATTTTTGAAGCTGCAAAATTCATCATAAAAGTATGGCTGGGGCAAGTTCCAGAAAATGGCTTATGATTTACATCAACTTTCTTAGTTGCGTTTTCCGTCTTTTTATTAAATCTTATGCAATTAATACACACTTGCACTTCTTTTTTATCACATTCTGAACTCTTATGCTCACCAGAGCAGCAATAACAAGCCAAGGGATTTCTGCAATCAAGACTTCTGTGGTAGCCTAAACATTTAAAACATCTATTTAAAACAACAAAATCTTCAGCTTTACACATATTCCACATCACTTTAATACGCCCAAAATTTAAAATACGCTTGCGCACAGCAGGATGCACCTCAATAACCACGCTTCTCTCACGTTGAAACTTTTTTAAAGTAGAGCGAACTTTAACGTCTTTCCAAGTCTCTTCACTCACGGTAATTTCAGGATTTTGTTCTTCAATAATTTTTAACAGTTCATCATTACTAATGCTGTTTGGCACATTTTTAAATAAATCTGTAGGATATTTTCGTCTTGGAATAGAGGGATTCAAAATAGATGAGTCTTCCTGCAAAGCAGTAAACAGTTTTTCTTTATCATATCCCGAAGCACATTTCACCATTACTTTATTGTTATGAACTGTTTGAATATTGCTAATTCCAATTTTATGTTTCCGAGGGTTGATTTCAGCCTTAAGGAGCTTTATAACTTCATCAGATGTACAGTTTTGGGCACTCACAAAAACAATTCAAGCAATCTGAATCAGTCTGATTTGTCCCAACAGATGGCGCCACAGCATTAGCATACGATTTCGTTTGCATGACTGAATTCAATAAGCTTTCTTTACAAGCTTCACGAAAATTTACAGATTTAACATGCTCAACATACCTAGTAATCAAACTTTTAATCTCACCCAAAGCCTTCTTCGCATCATCACGAATCTGCGGATTCATATTGCATTTCGATACTATGGCTAATTCCACCTTTTGAAGCTCATTGTCCAGAGCTGCATAGAACTCGTCACCCCCACAATCCGCCATTTGGCGTTTTTAGTAGCGACATGGCCTTTGGAAAAAAAAAAAAAAAAAAAAAAAGTTTTTGTCAATAAAAAGGGGTTATTTCTGCAAATAATGCCGACGCGTTATGATAACTTTAGTTTTGGGCTATTTTTTGTAATAGTAACCCTTTTGTAGAGACTTCGGGTTTTTGGTTCTTACCATTCTTTTCAATTGCTGTGTTTGGTTGCACATAAGTGGTATGGTCTTGTATTTTGAACTTTCTTTTATTTTGGTGTGGGTACCATCGTTTCAGTATGTCTGAGGTGACTAAGAGACGAAAAAATTAATTGAATTGCTTACCTGGAGGATGGAGGAGATGATGGTGGGAAGCCTAAACGTATGCATGTGAAAAAAAAGACGTTTCATTTATTTATTCGTCTCTGTGTTAATTTTTGTTAAAAGATTTGTTGTTTGATGTTTTTATGTTAGGAAATATGTATTTTTGGTAACTTATTTCTCTCTGTTTGTATATTTTTGGTTGTCTCTGTGTGTTAAGACAGCGGCTTAAGTTTGTTCAATTTGTGTACGTCTTTGACTTTTTTGGTTTGTGGTGGCCAAAATTGGTGCCGGTTTTTTCAAAAAAAAAAACAAAAAAAAAAAAAAAAAAAAAAAAAAAAAAAAAAAAAGATCGTGTGTTAAGACAGTGGCGAATTTTTTCTGGTAACTATGATATTTTACTTTCTGATTTTCTTAAAGTGAAAATAGATCAATGTGTACATGGACAAAGTTAAGGCAGTGCACAATGCCCAGTTTTGTGCAGTTCTCTGTTTTAATAAAAGGTCGATGTGTACATGGACACAGAGTTTGTGTATGTCTTTGACTTCTTATTTTGGTTTTGTGTAGCGGCCACCTTGAAATTGGTGCCGATCCTCTCAGGTGACGATCTTGATATAAAAAAAAGAAACGATTCGCCAAGGGTTACAGTAGAGTAAATTTTTACCAAAGATGTTCTACCATAATCACCATTTCAGTGGTTTAAAAAACACTAGTGGAGCAGTATGCAGAGATGAAGATTTGAGTTTTGTTTACACAGCATGATGGTTTAGGCACTCCAGCCATTACAGTGAACAAAATTATAATAAACATAGCCACAATAATTGTCTATAAATATTGATGTATAACACTGCATTAACTAATATATTTCTTATGCTAGTATATACAGAATCCTTAATCGAAGGGAAAATCAGAAGACTGTGCATGCATTTTCCTTTAACTGAAACATGGATTTGACCATACAAATCTCAGTCTTACGGGACATGCCACACTATGCAGATAGACAGTAAAAAGTGCTTGTGTTGTTTTTATTTGTTAGAGGTATGAAATAAATATACTTCTAGATTTTAATTTTTTCTTTTCTTGTTTTACATTTGGATTACCTATCAAAAAGTAAGGAATTTTGATATTATTACAATATCGGAGTTAAAATAACATTATAAATAAACAATTAATGAAAATTTTAAATTAGGTTAAAAAGTAACCCTTAATGTGGCATATTTTTGAATTAAAACTCTATCGACATTAAAAACAACAAAACGTCCCTCTTTATTAAGGGACTTTAATTAACTAATTTTAAATACGGAGCTATGAATGAATTTTTTCCCTTGCATGTTATAATAAACTGAAACAAAATTACTCTGATACAGTCAAAATTCCTAAATGCAAGTACATAAAATTTACTTTAGCAATTTAAAGAGATGAGACACACACTGAACACATGAATAAATTTCTATCAAAGAATAATTTATTAAATTTGGCCCGTTCCATAGTAAACTTTAACCATTAGATTACATTATTACACCATGTTATCAGTTTTGAAAAGCAAGTCATATGCCAGATCTTGGATGTAAAAGAAATGCACAAAATAATATACAGATTATTGAAAAATGATGTATACCAATGTTTATAGATATGATTAAATGTAACAGAAAATTTACTGTCACAACCACATTTTTAAGTGAAATGTATTATTTTAACATTTTACAATATTTAAGGTATGGCATTAAATGCAACATTTATGTGCCTGGACATAAGTTAGTAAATTTAAAAAATAATAAAAATAATCAAAGAATGAATGTCATGAAAAAATTTCAAAAACAAGCAGAATTTAATTTAGAAGACCTTTAGACACTTATGATAAATAAATTTGAGAATTCTTCACCCAAAATTAAATTATAATTAACTAAAACCAGTTTGACTGACCTTCTACAAAATCCTTCAGCTGCAATTTTTTCTAGCTTGAAAACCAAATTCTTCTCCACATGGTAATAACATCTTAACCAGTTGAAATTCCTGCAGAAAGTTTGATAACACAGTAATAGAATTAATAGAATAGAAAAATTAACACAAAAGTATAGAACATCATTTAAAAAGCTAATTGTCTTCAGACATATACTGTTACTAAAAAATGGCCTTTCCGCCTTTAGACTCTTAGCTCTTGGACAGCGAAAGCCTTTTTCCTTTCTTAAATTCTAATCATTGCGACACGACAATTGCAGAAATTAATTAATTCCATTACTAGTATTTTCAAATCTTAACAGACGGTCTCTCTCAGAAAAGAACTCCACAAAATACATCCCTCAAGAATTCCAAGTCCCACCCACTACCATAAATTACTTCACCCAAGTCTTACCGACTGATATTATTCAAAGCCCCTACTGCCGCTAAGAATTTTCGGACACCCTACACTTCTGAGTCAGACACGAAGAGAACACTTTGCCAACTCCCCCACTAGAAAGAATGTAAGTTACTTAATACCTTTCTGGCCTTTATATCTTCATGTACATTCACTGATCTTATTTATATTACTATTATTTTTATATTATTTTATATTTTTCTTTGATTTGTTTTTACAAAGTTTGCATTATTTATCTTTTTTATAATCTTCTATGTTTATTTCAACTTTACTTTGAATTCGATTTCATAATGACAATTTCCAATGTTTAATTTCTACAAATAATATAGTACTCAAATGCGTAACGATGAAAGTGTCGGGGACGGTTACTCGAGTTTTACAGGATTTCTCTACAGTAATTGATTTTTACTCCAAATTGAATTGACTAAAATGCTTCATGAGAATAAGTTCTTTGAGTATCAGCATTAGTTCATAATTCCTACTATTCGCGGAAATATTTGGCCTGACTAGAATTGCCGGTTTGGCTTTAACTTATAACTCGAGTAAAGACGAAACACAAATGCGTAACGATGAAAGTGTCGGGGACGGTTACTCGAGTTTTACAGGATTTCTCTACAGTAATTGATTTTTACTCCAAATTGAATTGACTAAAATGCTTCATGAGAATAAGTTCTTTGAGTATCAGCATTAGTTCATAATTCCTACTATTCGCGGAAATATTTGGCCTGACTAGAATTGCCGGTTTGGCTTTAACTTATAACTCGAGTAAAGACGAAACACTTTCGTATTTACGTATTTTTATCAATTATTGTTCATTGAACGGGAGTTGGTTTGTTCCCCTTGAAAAGTCAACTAATTTCCGATCAATGACAATGATTACATGTTTTAATTTTTCCTTTTACAATTGAAATTTATTCTTCGTGATGATTTAACTCCAGTCCCCGTTAAAACATTAAACATTTTGCTTTCAAATTACTTCAAAACATCTTTCAAAATATAACTTACCAGTATGGATGCACACTTTTAAAATAATTCTACTTTAATTAAAACTTAGGAGATAATATAATCAATTAATCAATACTGTTTAGGATGCACATAAATTATATATAATATATATATATTGGGTCAATATTCACATATTTTTCATCCAACGGAATACTATTCAGAAATAAAGATTAAATATAAAGCATGTAAATACATGTGTGTGGTATGCATATTCATAGTTTGCTAAACATTTTAAACAATTTACATTTAAGTTACTTTATAACAATTGTCGAAATTGAACTTACTAACTATGGGTTCACTCTTTTAAGATAATTCTACTAAAATCAATCTTAGGAGATAATATAATTAATATTTCTTTAGTAAACAAATTATTATTAACTTACTTTGCAGCAATTACGCAAGTAGTAGAATAACTCGATTTCGCACTAAGTTAATTTAAGATCATATATATATATATATATATATATATATAATATCTAGATTTGTGTTTGTGTGAAGTCACGAGGTTTCGTTTTTTCTCTCGCTTCATTTGAGAATCTTGGAATGAAATTTCGCTATAAATCTTGAATGGTGTCTGGAAGAAAATTTGACCGTTCTTTTTCTAAAGTAAGATGAAAACGACGCCAGCAATTAATCAGGTGACCAGTGTAACAGAAAGCCATGGCAGGCAATTACATTGAAAAGTTGATACTGTACTGCCAATCAGCTACTGAAATTACATAGCAAGGAACTGACAGTCGAGACTTAACAGAACTGCGTGGGCAGATTGCTAATGAAGAAGCCTACACCTCATATCCATATCCAGCAGGTAAAATTATAACAGCCTCAAACTTGACAAAACGTTTTGGCTGAATTGACAAAAACAATATAAATTTTGGACATAAATTCTACTAAGGAACTCGTTCTATCAGCGTCATATATACAAAAACGCGTTCTTTCAGCGTTTTTGCATATGTGAAATACAAAAATTACAAAAACATATAGGAATAGAAATGCAATTAAAATTTGATTCAAAGTTATCAAGAGGAGGTAGATCAGATTCAATTGAACCCCTATCCCCTAGAAAACCACTGTGCTTCTGTTCATCCAAAATTAGCTGATGAACCATTCTAAATTTTTTAATTATAGCAGTTCACTCTAAAATTTTGAATTCCGTCCCGACGCAGAGGAAGTACCATTATAAAATAAAAATATAAAACAAAAGCAAATCTATTTGTAAAAAATTCCAACGTCCAATAAAGTACAAAAAATTAATTAGAAGCTTTTTACTTAGTTTAAGTCAAATTAAATGTAGAAATACGAAATATACATTGGTGTGCAAAAATTAAGGACGAAGTCGAAAAAT